TGTGGATTATGTATCGGGAGGGGCGCGAGAACTTGACACGTTATCACCTGGCCTGCTGGCAGACGTAAGATCACATGCATTACTTTTCGCTTTGATCGAAATAATCTGTTCGTTCTGTTTAATCGAGACACTTTGCCTTAAATCAAAATTGGGCATCTAGGAGTAAATTAAATAATATTGAATTATTCATTATATTATAAAATTTAATATTATTTTATCTTTATACGTATATTTAATATTATTAATATCGAATTATTCAGATTTTTTATTTGATATAAGCAATTAAGTATTATGAATTTTAATAACAAAATGTAAAGCAATAACGTATGTATATTTTTGGAACAATTTTGCAGGACGCGTTACACTGTTTCTTCGAATCTATAATTTTTTTATCTATCTGTCATCAAGGTATAGTTATTGTATCTAAAGATAATGGCATATTGTCGAGCCTCGTTTGTATTTCTGAGGTATAGCTATAATCGTGCAAGGTCTATGATACTGTAAGTAGTTATATTCGCACGATTTCTCGTTTCTATAGACGCTTTTGATGTGTGTATATCCCCTTGTGTTATGCAAGACTGACCGAGTATACTACTTGCATTACTTCCATATTATTGCTGATTTCGCTCAAATAGTTTTGATTCTAATGATGGGAAACGCGCTGTTGAGTTAAATACTAATTAGCTAATTAACTCCGCATATAAATATAAAATATGTTGTAAAGGTATAAATAAAAATATATAATATATAAAAATCATTATTTTATGTTATTGTCAAAATTTGTGACAGAATTTGAAGACTAATTTTAAACTGCGACAATAATGATTTAATAAAATAATTTATGGATTCGAATATATCCATTTCTCAAATAGTTTTTAATGGAATATTTAATTCGAAAATAATAAAGCTATCAAAAAAATTATCGTCTCCTGAGAATAAAGAAGATATCCTCGGAAAGCGCCATTCTTCGAAAAAGGTAAACGTGTTAAAAAAGCGATGTCTTTAATTAAAATGCTTAGGGGTTAGAAAGCGTGATGAATGGGATTGTCGATTCTATACCGGCACAGCTGCGTCAAGAAGAACTCTATTAATTATTAGACGACACCGAATCCATTATTTAGGACGAGGAACGACCAAGGTCCTCGAGAAATAGTTCTATATTCGGATATCATTAGTACTTTGCCGGACATTCGTTTTCCCTCCTTTTTTCTCTCTCAGTAGCATAAAACAAAGCTAATTATTATTGAGGAACCGCGTGGGTTCGATAGTAACCCCAACCAAATTTATTGGACTTCATATGTTTCTGAAAATGTATTTATATACAGGGTTTCTCAGGATTGCTTAGGATATCCTTTTATGCATAAGTATTAAAGAAGAGACAATAAAATTTATTAAAAATAAAAGAATTTTCATAAAGAAATAAATAAATTAGATATCTTAATTTTCTCGTAATATACATTGCAGAATCTTGCAAATATAAATAATGTTTATTTCTTAAGTTTTAAATATTAATATTAATAATGTTTATTTTTAAGTTTTAATTAAAATGCTTAATAAATATAATAGAATTCAGTTCCTAATTAAGAACCCATCTTGATATAAAAATATAGATGGAAATAAAAATAAAATAATTGAGGAATTTTCAACTCTATGATAAGACGATAATCTACTGAATGATCGCGTAGGCAATTTATTATCGCACACGTTGATGATATACTTCTCATATATCGTTATATTATTAATTTGAATATCATTATTCTTTATTATTCAATGCTCTTTTGTATTATATTTTTTATAATATAAATTCAATTATTTTTAATACAGATTTTAATAAATTTCTTAATACATTTTATTTTAATATATTTTTTATTCAACAAAATTTTATTGTCAATATATAGAAATTATGTCGCAGTATTTTAGAATTTTATTTAAGATCTAAAATGCTAATCGAAAAGATAATTTTTCTCAGGGAGTTGTTTTTACCATTTTCACATTTTTTTTCCATAACAGATATTTTTTTTCATATCGGTCATCCTGCGACGAGAAGGATGCGCCTTGTAAGATCGCGATGCAAACGAGAAGAGATCGAGGCGTAGGTTCTCCAGCAGCGAGCGGCACGCAGTGCTCACAGTGACATCTCATTAACACTATTTTCTTAATAACTCGCGATAAGAACTGGTCCTTCGCCAGCGAACCATTCCGACGCCGTTTCATCTCGCTTTTCTTGCACAGCCTTGGCAGAGTATCTCCGGGGACAGTCGCGCGAGAAAGGCCGCGCAAAGGCCGTTAAATATATGTATACCGCGTAAGAATAATAATTATTCCTAAGTATAGGTCTGCGCGCGAGAATGGCCGCGGTGTCTTTGACGAGTCCGGGAGAATATTCCGTGTCGCATCGGCACCGTTTCCGCCTCGCCAGTGCTTCAATTAAACAAATAGTCCGTTACCGGATGCGTATAAAATTTGATTTTGCATATTAATTTCGTGGGCAATCACTGGCGTTAAGGAATCTGCAGGAGTCGTTAATGATGCAACTTACGGTGCATCAAGCAAAACGGAAATCAATGGATAATGTCATTTGAAGCAAGGAAATAAAATAAAAAAATAATTCTACGTTTTTATAACTTATTGGAGTTTATACATTCATATATTTTTTCTATGTATTTATATATATATTTTTAGATTTATTTATATGTATTTTATTACAAGGCTAAGCCTGATAATTTCTTCAAAAAACAGCAATGAATTTGCGTTGTTAATTAAAATATAACTTTTAATAATGCATTTCACTTTGAGTGTTAACTTCCTACATCTGATCACAGAAGACTCGGTTCTGTAATTTGTGACATTTTCACCTATATATATTAAAATCGCGTATTATTGCTCTGACTCGTTTTGTATACTCGCTCCGTATACTCTTTAGTTACAATTTTAATTTCATAAACGTTTCATTGTGATGGGATTGCACGTCATATTGTCTGTTATGATGCGCGTCAATGGCTTCCACACCCGTGGTGAGCGTTTTAATTAAGCGGACAGCGCGTTGCTTAAAAACGAGGTTTACATCGGTTAATTTCGCAAGTTGCCTCAATGGTGCGGCATTGCTCCTCTGTATTTGCTTTCAAAGATATTGAAGAATCTGTTGAAGAAAATATTTCAGTAATATTCTTATATTAATTTTAATTAATTCATTTTATAAAAAAAGTTGATTAAAATTAATTTAAGGATATTATCGAAATATTTTCTTCTATATTAATTATCTAAATAATAATTATAATTATTATTAATTTATTATCTCTAAATTAATTACTTAATTTTTTAGATGTGTCGTTTTCTGTTTAATAAAATTTTTCAAAAATAAAAAATATTCTAACGATTATTATTTAATTTTTATTGCTTTATATTGTTTTGAACATATTACATATAAATTTACATATTTATTTATTACAGTTTTTATTCATGTTATATGCAAAGAATAAAAAAATTAGGCATAATTTTAAATACTTGACGAGTCATTTTTCGAGTACGACACAGTGGACATTTATTTCCACGAAAATACTTACGCCAATGCCAGCAAGTCGGACCACCATGTAATAGCTATGTAGTAGTTGTCATTTAGCAGTGTCTTAACTATTAAATAAATCGCGCACTTTACGCCAATCGGGCGGTTCGCTCTCGTCTCTGCGTAAATACTCCAAGTTACGACCTTAGGTGGGCATCCTGCCCTGAGGACACCTCTGGAGCAGAGCACACGCGTCAATCAGACCAGCTGGTGCACACCGACAACTTTTAATTACCTATTCGAAATCCCGCGGACGCGGACCGTCTGTCGTTAACGATTCGAGAAGTGCACGTTGAATTCCGGATAATGAAGAGTAAAATGTAAATCCCGCGCGTGCATATATAACGGGTCGTGCCTCGAATTGATTATCAAAGTTAATCCCCTAGAATCGCGTGGCTGTGGAACAAAAGCACGGTTGGTTATTAAACCCTCATCGCTACGGACCAGTAAGATTGTTGATTGCCCTGGCATTTTGCAACAGTTTTATTTTTAGCAGGAGTCTTGTCTATGATGTTATAGACGGTTGTTTTTCGCGAAATAAACTACGATATATCAAAATTTTCTTCTATCATTAAGATTAATATTTCAATATATATAATAAATCTATATATGTTTTATACATTTACTCGAAACAAGCGGTACACTTAAAATTTGGAAAAAATCAAAATTTCAAATGACGATAACTTCGTAAAAAATAAAGATAGAAAGGTTCCTAAAAAATAAAAATAAAGCTTGGAATCTCTACTTTAAGAATATATTCGGTTCAATGTTGCGAGATCAATTTATTAAAAATGGCGGATGACAAAACGAGAAATGCAAAATTTAAAAATAATGGTCCGAGTTTGCCAATGCATATGGGGTGAGTCAAATGTTGCAACTTAATGGGATAAAAAGTATATAATAATATAGAGTTTCCCCTTTAAAATGCTTTTTTAATAATCTCGATACGATGATTTTTCGCAGAGTTATTCGCGTTTAAAGTAAAAAGCTGCTTTTTTATTTAAGTGCAAATATCTTGGCAAAAAATAATCGTATTGAGATGAATAAAAAAGCATTTTAAAGAGGAGACTCTGTACTATCATATACTTTTTATACCATTGAGTTGCGACATTTGATTCACGCCATGTGTCGTGGTAATTCGGATCATTATTTTTCAATTTTGCATGTTTTCGTTTTGTTATCCGCCATTTTTAATAAATTTATCTCGCTACGTTGAAATAAATAGATTCTTAAAGTAGAGATTCCAAGCTTTATTTTTATTTCTTAGAAACCTTTTTATCTTTATTATTTACGAAGTTATCGTCATTTGAAATTTGATTTTTTTCCAAATTTTAAGTGTACCACTTTTTTATAGTAAGTGTATATAATATAACAAATGTCTAATTAATTTATATATGTTTTCCATATATATAAATATGATATTTTTGTTTTCTTGCAGCTTAAAACCACCACAGAAAGACGGGGTGACAAAGTCGAATCCCAGTAAGCGACATCGAGAGCGATTGAACGCTGAGCTGGACACTCTAGCATCATTACTTCCGTTCGAACAAAATATTCTCAGCAAGCTAGATCGACTCAGCATCCTCAGACTCAGTGTAAGCTACCTCCGTACCAAGAGCTACTTTCAAGGTAAGACAAAGTTCTTTTATGCATCATTGCAATTCTATCAAACATATCCACATTTTTCTAATTATTGCAATTGCGTATGTGACAATTATTTTTTAAAATTAACCCCTTACTCGTTGATGAGCCTCTACTTTAATTACTTTATATTATTTTGAGTGATCTACGTTTAATATATATACATACATTACGTGCGCATCATTTAATTGACATATACGTTATGTCAGCTCCGAATTTAACTAAATCAGACAATAGGATTATTTTAGTTAATTAATTTATTCTCGCGCCGTTTGCGTAATGATAGCTAAGATACGGGAGTATCAGGTATCAAGTTGTGGCTATGAATTTCATCGTAACATAACTATCTACTTTTGTCAGCACGCGAGATACTCGTTATATCTTCAGGACAATAAGATCCGGAAACAATGAGCGGTCCATAGACTCGCCCATCATTCTTCCGCTATCCACCGACTGATAGCTTAATATCAAAATCATGTTTCGTACAGTGCACGAGGATAAACTATTGGATTATAAAAGGTAAGATTTTATTCGCACAACGAAACAATGAGAAATGGGCTTTGAATTGCCAAGCGCGATACAAATTGCTTAACAAAAATATGCGAAAAAGTATAAATAACGCGAATGATTAGGGGAAAAGTTACTAGGATCGATTAAAAAAAAGGTAGCGATATTTGCTTTATAAAAAATAACAGTTTTATTTAATGATGATATTTATAAACAAAGCAAAATTATATTAATATATATATATATATATATATATATATATATATTAATATAATTGAGCCTCGCTTAGAGAATTCTCGTTTCTTAATTAAGATATTTTTTTGGGGCTGAAGAAATTTTTCAAAGATATTGCCAAAAATAAAATAAATAAATTATGACATTTCTGTATATTCATATAAAATTAACACTCCTGCGAAATAATAGCGTTTGATCGGCTATGCAGAAATTATGCAACTTGAATAAGCCGGGAGCACGCCTCTCTGCACCACCAGTGTGCAATCTCATCTGCAATCGCAATCAGGGCCAATGGAAGAATGGATAGATGCTTTCATCTTCCTCACTTTATTCGTCGCTTTCGTTCCTCATTTCCAATTTCACGACGAGTAAAGTGACTCCTGCGCGAAACGTGAAATTGAGCTCATTGATTTTATGATGCCGAAGATTTATTGGAACGGACAAAAAATAAGATTGTCTTTGCATCCATCAATTCTTATCATTTTCTTTAATATATAAAGAAGAATAATATTAATATCGTTTAAATCATAATAAAAAAAAATTATTTTATGAGGTGCTTCTAATATATACTAATGATACATCTTAAGATCAGAAACACAAATACGATATTGTTTATAAAATATATAAAATCATATCTAAATGAAATTTGTTTAATTACAAATTTACAATTTTTATTTTTAACATTTTATGTCTCAACTTTGACACTGCCTTTCTTCGAATTTGTGTTTCTACGTATGTTTAAGATCCTTAAATAGTGTTTTAATTACTGCCAACATCAATCAATCTAAATATATCAAAATTTTGAAAATAAAAGCTGCTAAATCATTCGAGATACACTCGACTGTCGCGTATAAACGTACACGTACGACGTTTCCTCCGAAAGGGAGCGACAGACGGAGGAGGAAAAAGGGTGGGAAAGAATTCATTAGCGGAAGAGGTGTGGGCATCACGGTCGGGAACGGCTGATCTTTCGCGCATGGAGAAGCGAGAGGAAGCGAGATGGCTGATATACCTGGGTGCAATAGCGTATGCAAGGTAATGCACGGCCACGAATCCGGATTGAAAGTGCGGAGGAGGACCTCCTCCGTGTGCTACCGGTCTGTCCGTCTGTCTATCTGTGAATATATGTGTGCATGTATGTGTGTTGCTGCTGCTGTTGGCTACGTCCGCGCGATATCGCGGATCTCGCAGTATATCACCTTATACTTAGCGCTCTTGTTGTTGCTGCTGTTACCGCGTCGTCGCTAGGTTGGATGCTGCGGGATGCTGTTGCTGCGATACCGAGAGGGCGAGATTTCGCGCGTGCCGCAGCGCGCATTGTTCACGCCGTTTTAATAGGTATTCATTTTGTCGGGTCTCGGATCTCCGTCGAAGACTCCCAACGCAGTGTCGTCCTGATCTGACCCGATATCTGGAAGCTGCCGCATTCGCTTGGCCCCCTCGTGAGATCCCTTTTCGTGCCGATTCTCTCTTCACTCTCAGCGAAATTTCAAATTATGTAAAGAAGTGTCACGTGCTGGTAAAAAATTTTCGACCTCGTCTGAGATATAAAATGTTAGAACTGTGATTAAAAATTGAATAAGAAATCGAATTCTACATCCTATAAACTTATTTAAAACATTTAATTTATATATTATATATTAATGTATGGTGTATAAAGAAATATAAAATATGTCTACATATATATATATAATTTTATTATATTAATATATAATACATTAATAAATAATAAATTAAATTTTAATGAGACAAATATAATGACATCATGAGGATTGTGTGGAGATAAATTATCGACGAAATCGCATCACGTTATTTTAATTTTCGGCCATACGTCGTCTACGAGATTCAGTTTCTGAAAATTTCACGATGCCGGCGACTTCCGTTTCGCGGTTCGATTAAAAAAAGCTCGGTTCACGCCTCGATAAACGCGCGTCGCGGCCGTTAATAAGATGAACAGCTCTGCATTCGATCGGCAACATTAATCGGAGTAACACGGGTAGGAATCCTATTCCTCCCACTCTTCCTTCCCTCCTTTTCTTCGCTCTTCAAGCTATGTAAATTAATTAGGGCCCTCGGTAACGGCGCTGATTTTTCAAGTAGGCACGTGGTGCGCGCCTCCCTCGCCTCGAGGTGGAAAGAAGAAGAAGAAGAGGAGCATGAGAAAGAAGAAGCGAAAGGGCGAAAAAGGATGAACAGGAAGCAGAAGGTGGCGAAGTCGGGGCCCGAGGTGAATTAACCGGGCGTTGAAGAAGCGCCAAGAGATGGTCCCCGCTGCTCTTTCTTTCTCCTTCTTTCTTTCTTCTTTCTGGGTCTCAAGATAGCAGATCTTCCTCGGAGGCTGCGCCTCCTTCGCCTTTCTCACACGTCTCTCCGAATCTTCCTTCCTCGAGTAGACTACCGGAGATCTCGTTCAGGCTCGCTCGAATCTCGGCAATTAACCTTACGCCACTTGATCTTATTATATTGACAACGTGTGTTGTCCTCCGATCTCTTAGCTTTTTCCTAACTTCAAATAAAATATTGAAAGAAAAAAAATAGGAGTTTGTTCATAATTTTGCTGGCGCACTTGATATTCGATTATATAAAGATGATTAAGCAGGGTATCTACTTCTTGAAAAAATCAAGAAAATCGGGGATTTTTAGGGTACTTTTTATCTTTAAAAAATAGGAATTCTCATGAAATTTTATTGATTCAGGGAATTTAAAAAAAATCTCATGCGACTTTTTATTGACAATCTTTTTAGTATTATAAAAATCTTATAAGTTTCATAGGACATTATTCAATTTTTAAATAATATTTAACTAAATTAGTACTCCCTAAGATACTAGTTATATAATAAATTACTTTTTATTTTATATTTACTTACTAATTTTTTGATATTTTATCTAGAATTTTAAAGTAGAAAGATCAAAGAATTCTCAGGGAATTTTTTTACGAGATTTGAAACATTTTAATAAATATCGATAGCGAGAGAAGAGGTTCACAGATTCGCACTTTTCCGTATGACTGGAAAAATTAATAGTTTTGCGCGGACAGGCGTTAAAAAGATAATACGCGTAAAGTAGAATCGCTCGCAGAATGCGTGACCAATTATTTCGATGATTTACGACGTCCTTATCGCGTCATAATTGCCGACAAAAAAAAGATTTATGCCCGAGACGCGTATCGCACATATGTATATTATACTATATCTTGCGCATTATTAGCAATTGCGCGAATTTTTAAGCATCCGAGAGCATCATATCTATAATATATCGGACGAAACACAAAGCGTGTAAATTATACCGTAGCAATTATATCGGTGGTGAGACTCGAGAAATTTTTAACATTGCAGTTTTAATTAATTGAGCGATCGCTCGTTATATATATGTATGTATAAGCATTAGTTAAGGCGCATGCGAATTAGGCCGTCGTATATCTGCGGAAAGAAATTGCACGGTATAGTGCTCACTTCTACGTAAAAATACATGTATAAAGGGAAAAGCGCGTGTAAGTGTTTGTATCTCTCGGAAGTAACACAATCGGCAACGTTTTCTTGCAATATCATATACATATCTCTTAATTAAGATCCTTCATGCTGAATTTATAAACGCGATCTCCTTCAATTTCAATATACATAGTTGTCGATATGTTACATTATATAGTTTCTTACATATTTTTCGTAGAAACTTGTAAATATTATAAATAACGATTTTTTAATATGTTTTTATGTGATTTTTAATCATAAATTTAAACGATAATTACTGGAAGTTGATTCTCTTTTTCTTTTATTCTTTTACTTCGCGATGACATAATGAGAGCGAGAAAAATAGATTTGCACAACTTTTTAACAAAATATATAATATAAAAGTTTGTGAATATAGTAATTTTTTTGCAAAAACAAATACGTAATTATATATGATTGAAAATTAAGAAAAAATATTCTTCAATTTTATTTTTTCTCAACTCTATATGTAATTAAATTATATATAATTAACTCTAATTATATATAATTTTCTTAACTTTAATTATATATAATTGTATATTTGTTTTTGGTAACGAAAAAAATTTAGTTATTACATTTGCAAATTTTTTATATAGGTAATATATTTTGTTATATACAATTATGCACACAAATCTATTTTTCTCTTCCGGTTTTCGGCCAAGAGAAACAGATCTTGCAAATTTTTGTTCTCTTTCTTTATTCATTTCTCACCTTTCTTCCTTCCTCTCCTTTTTTCTCTCATCGCGTTCTTCCTCTCCTTTG